TGTATTAGTATGATATCTACTTCGCAAGTTAATTGACTTCACTCTATTGTATAATCATCACTATTTTGCAGTAATAAGTATCATTTGTTTCACGGATTGAGTGCAAGTATTTACGAAAATATCATAAAATAACTATTGGCCTACCGCTCGCCTACTTCTCGCGGCAAAAGATCTTACCTGTTTAACTTTGGCTTAACGTTTGCTCTCTTGGGAAACTAGCGACCAATGTATACATCTGTGGGTGCAGCTGGCGGAACTCGTTTCCTCTGAAGTCTTTTTGATATCAATTTTGGGATATCTTGTGAGATTACATGAGGATCGCTCATTTGCGTACGCTTTCCAGGGGGCATTTTATCAGGAGGGATAGTTGCCCCTCTGTTTCTCTTTACATCCAAGCTTCCAACTTCTTCTGGTCAATTGAAGTCATCTGCAGAAGTCTTAGTAAAGACAAATAATACAAGCAAGATTGCTACGAAATGGAAAGATCCCATGTTCATCTCTTCAGGAGGTACCGTACGTTTCAGAGGATTGTCGGTCTACAACGGAGTGTATATCAGGCTTGTTTCTCATTTATATGTTCTCACACAGGACTCGTCCTGTGAAAACAATTGACATTTCGCAACTATTTCGGCTGATAAGCTAATCACCCTTTTGACGATGATTACGGGTTTGGTGATCGGAACTTTGATGTTTCCCTGTAGTACGCAGGTGCAAGGATCTATAAATGATATAACATCCTCATCTAGATTCAATCTTAATAGAAACCCGAGGTGGGTGAGACAATGAGTGTATTACCTTTTTCCGCATGCCGCGATTGATTTTGAAATTTTCCGAGACGGCAACTTTATTGCAATTTTTTTCTTATATTTCAGTAATTATCGTGGTGATCAACAACATGCCTTTTACATTAAAAAAAGACAATCTTCTTATTACTAAATTTAGTTTAAACACCTGCATATATGATGTAATTTCATCCTCTTCCTTCCTCGATCGCTATCATCAATAAGTAAACACTGAACAGTTTATAACTGACAAATATGAAGTTGATATGTAGTTGGTGCGAATAGGACCATGTCTACTGTGTCAACGGACGCGTTTCTAACGTCAAAACAGTAGCAAACAGCAGCAACGACAACAACACCAACAGCGGCAGCAGGAACAACAGCAACGACAACAACTACAGAAGCAAGAGCAACAACAACAGCAACAACAACAATACCAGAAGAAGCAAAACACAATAATTATAAACTGTGTGCCGAACTCTTAATCAATAT